GGATGAGATTTGTCAGTTCTAGAAGTGTGGCCAGCTCAGATCTTGATGCCTACGTTGGAAGGGCAGAGCAATTTGTTCGCAATGATGGAAAAGTCACTGTTGACTAATGACAGAAATTAGAGTTAATTTTGGATAGAGCAGCTACTCAGAAGCTATCAGTGCCTATTAGAGGGCTCTGATAAGGCTCTTTAAGGGATTTTGCTTTCTCTGGCATGTGTGGTTAACCTGGAAAAATTGTGAAGATCTCTGAATGGTCTCTCTCACCGGTGGGGGCCAGAAGGCATCCCTAGCTCTAAACTTGCCTTTTTACCTACCTGCCCTTCTCAGAGTACCTACCTGTGGGTAAACCCCAAGATGCTCCTATCATACACCAGAAAACCTCTTTAGTTAAAAATATTTAACACCACGGTTTTGCTAGATGAAAAGCAGGAGTTGCCACTTGGGAAAGCTACTGTGGCAGAGTTTGAAGATTCCTGCTTTAATCCAAGCTTTCTGGTTGTACGAGGCCTGCTGTGACCTGTGCTTTGACCAGGCTGCGCTGCATGGGGGAAGTTGCCACCGTGTGTGTGCCACAGGGTTTTGGAACCGTGTCTCACTGATCTGAAGTGTGCAAGAAGCCGGCCTGTCCCCCTGAGCACAGAGTTCCTTGCAGGAGCACGAGCTCATTCTCACAGCGTCTGTAAGGTTGACACAGCCCTGGTCGCTTTGCGCTGTGTGAGTGAGGAACATTTCAGCCCAGGAAACGCGGCAGCTCTTGCTGAGAACTTTCCTGCATTATCGTTTGAATCCACAGGGCAGGCATCTCCCTTTCCCTTGTGCCAATTTTCCATCTTAGTGGCCGTGCTAATTCATCCTGGGATAGAGGAGAGCCAGCGCAGCTCCAGATGACTCGGTTGCTGACGTCAATTGCTGTTACAAGAATTTCTGTGAATTATGTCTCAGCTAACCAGTAGCAGGAATCTCAGTGAATTTAGGAGCTGTTGTGGGTGTGACCGATGAGATCTCGGGCAATTCTTTCATCAGCCAGTGCTTCAGTTTCCCTTTAGTGTGGTGCATTTGAGTATTCCTCATCTGTGGCTAAGCCAATCAATAAGAAGGATGTAGAGGTACCAGATGTAAACGAAAAAGCTGCCCCTGACCCCACCAGAATCCCACTTTTATGCTTTTTCTCTGTTTCGTACTAACCTTTCTGCTCCTTGGGTGCTTCTACCTCTTCAGCAGCCGCAGACCTGGGTTACGCCCACCCAGCACCCCGGCGTCTGGCTCAGTGTGCGGGAAGACGTCTCCATCTCGCGGTCAGATTGCGCTGAGCACAGCTGACAACGAAGAAGAAAAAAAACCCATCTTTTTAGAGCAGTTACAAAGGGTCTTGAGCCAAGCGCACGCTGTCGCTCACCCCAGCACGGCTGCAGTGAGGAGTACGGCGCTGCTTTCTGCTGTGACTAACCTTAGCAAAGGCACAGCACCCAGGCCAGGGCAGGTTTGGACGTGCTTCCCGCTCTGTTCATCTCCTTTGCTTTTGGCAGGGCTGCGAGGGAGCTGCAGGCCCAGCTGGAATACGAGCGGGTCAGGCGGGAGAAGCTGGAGAGCCAGCTGGACGGCTGCCGCGCCGAGATAAGCCGCCTTAGGAAGATCCTGGAGCAAACCGGCACCCCCCCTCCTCTCCCCTCGGTGAGTGCAAAACGATCTCCCCCAAGGAGTGGGACAGAGGCTGCTGCCTGTGGTTTGGGTAGGTTTGTTCTGCCTGAGATTGCCAGGCACCAGATTAAATGTGCCACCAACTTTTAGCTTGGGATGCTGAGGGGACCAGCAGCCTTTGTCATGTCCTGAGAGAGTCTCTGCTGTGGAAGGGTGTCAGTTACTGTCCCCTGGCAGAGGAGCGCCGATATTATTAACAAACAGGAACGCACCCGTCCCTGGGTCCTGCTCGCGTGGTGACTGACGGTTCATCTCGGCTGGTAGCTGGTGTCTGAGATTGGACCAGTGCTTCAGGAGGGGTGGTGGCACCACCTAAAGAGTTACCTGGTCGGCCGGACAGTGGGTATTGTGGGTTTGTAGGACTCTCTAATCCACAAGGACACAAAGGCTTTTATCCTCTGCATTTCTCTACTTTATTACAGATTGCCACTAATACCAAAATCACCACTAGCACTTGCTACCTATGGTTGATAAAGTGAATGTAAATATATATAAATGAAGCTTTTACAAAATGCTATTAGCAATCGATAGTATCATATCACTCAATAGCATGGTAGCAATTAGTGGTAAAGCAACAATCAATAGTATAGCAATAGCCAAGGAGTTGTACACTACTACAGGCTGCTTAGACTTAGCATTCGTGAAGCAAACTTACCAATGCTGTAAGAGCTGATGTATTTACAACTGATTACCTACAACCCAAGGGCCTTCAAATCCTGCCCTGCTGTGACTGTCACCCCACGCCGTGGGACTACACTGTCCTCAGCTTCCATTCAAACACAATATTCTGCAGTTATTCAAAGCCATATTTTTATACCTTGTCTTAGGAGGTTACAGGTTTACCCGATTGCTGTTTAACAGCTGCAGTGTCCTTTGCTTCAGGAAGTCGAGACCATCTCAAAGCCTTGCAAAGTGAAAAAGAAAATAAAGAAGCCGCCAGCCTGCAGCCCTGGAGGAGTGTTTGTGAGACTGCGCTGAGGCATGAGCCTTCGAGGGGCAGGCAGACTGAGCAGGTAAATCTTCTAGGCAATGGGAAGTGTTTGCACAGCCTGGCTCCACAGAGGAGCTGTGGTTCTCTGCATTTCATGGAATTTTTTTTTTAGTTCTCTAAAGCAGTTGAGAGAGCTGGGGTTGTTCAGCCTGGAGAAAAGGAGATTGACGGGAGATCTTACTGATCTCTACAGCTATTTGAAAGGAGGCTGTAGTAAGGCGGGAATTGGTCTCTTCTCCCAAGTAACACGTGATAGGAAAAGAGGAAGTGGCTGCAAGTTGCCAGGGAACGCTTGAGATTGGACATTAGGAAAAATTTCTCTGTGGAAGGGGTTGTCAAGCACTGGAACAGGTCCAGGAAAGTAGTGGAGCCACTGTCTTGAGGCAGCTGCATGTGCCCTGACAGAGGGCTGCCAAAGACACAAGAAGGGCAGCCCTTAAAGCCTGATGGCTTTGCTTCAGGTGCTCACCTCACCTGTGCCCTGCCCCCCTGTCAGTCAGAACTGCCCACAGACCAGACTCCACTGGGGTGTAAAGGGGGCCCTGCTGGAGTCGGTCCTCCTGGGAGCAGCAGGTCTGCAATGGGGCACTCTCCCCTTGGACTGGGACACCACCCAGGGAAACTTTCCGGGAGCCAGCTCTCATCCCTCCCTTGGTGAGGCCCAGTGCCTGGACATATCCTTGAGTGAGCCCTTGCCCACTGTGGGTGCACAGTGCCCTTTTTCTGGGAACCTCTGAGAGAGAGATTTTCCCTTCTGCGAGCAAGCATGCACACACTTTGGGTCCTTTCTAAAAAGGAACACTTGTCAATTGTGTATTATTACTTTCCCGACTGCTGCAAACGTTCAATATACTTTGGCCTGTCAGACTGCTGTGTAGTTTTCTGGTTGGAATTAATCTTCAATTTTCAATAGCTGCCCTGTCTGTTTTGTGGGCACCTCCATGATACCATCCCTGGAGCTATTTAAGCCACCTGCAGATGTGGTGCTTAGTGACATGGTTTATGGTGGACCTGGCACAACTATGTTAACAGTTGGACTCAATCTTAAGGGTCTTTTCTAACCAAAATGATTCCATGAGTCAGAGCAGCTCAGAAATGGTTATAACTCACAAGAAGATGGACTTGTACACACAACCGTTAGAACAGATACAAGCAGCTGCCAGCACCCACGGCTGTTTGACAAACACACAAACAGAAAAAGCAGCCTCAGCGCCCACCATAGCAGCACTGTGCCTGCTGTAAGAGCCACGTTTTTACAGTCTGGTAATCTGTGTTCAAGTCTCTCATGTATTCAGATAGCAAATATAAGAAATTTATTTTATTAAACAAGGATGATAAATAATTTAATGCACAGAATACAGGAACTGGCAGGATACCAGCAAGTTCAACTGTAAACAGGATAAAACTACAATAAAAAAAATTGCCACTGATCAGTACTACATACTCTTCAGCCCATAAAGAGTCTACTCTTACTTAAAAGTATAATCCAGAAAGATGTTTTCATTTTTTTTTAATTAAAAAAATCAAACCAAGCGTACACATTTGTACTCAACAAGATGTGACTGCTTCAGTTTTTGGAAGGCATCTGCCTGCTCCGTCCCACCTCTGCAGCAAGAGTTGAGAAGTCCTTGCAGAAGGTGGAAGGGTCATTGCCAGGAGTCAGGAGCGTCAGGGTGTCCCACGGGATTACAGACCAGTCGGGAGGAGGATGACCACCACCACGCACCACTGAGATGCTGAGTACTTCCATGTTACAAGCCCGGAAAACACGTGAGGGTTTACTGGAAATACTGCACACTACTTGAAGGGAGGCATTAAGAGCACTTATCTGCCCCAGGGCTTTACACAGCTGCTGAGGGTGGAGGCATTTCCCCTTGGAAAGACAGAAGTTCTCCCATTCTGTTGACCTCTGGGGTTATGGAAATTGCAAGATATACTAAAAAAAATAAATCTATGGAGACATTTTAGCTCTACATGAGATTTTAAATTCATGTAAACTATATTTTTCCAGAAAAACAAAGATTCGTTACTAAAGCCCTTGGAGTGTGTGTTTGTCCATAAATAAATAAAAAAAAAAACCCACCAACAAAGGGCCAGCCTTCAATCTGTCAGAAAAGAGAGGAAAAAACTGAAGGCAAAAATCCAGATTTGATATTTAAGATTAACTTACTTAAACTCTGGGAACAGTATTCCCATTTCAAGGGCATATCAAATGTTTAGTATTTTTATTTCCAGAGGAGCTGAGAGTGAAAATGTTCCACTAAGATGTTCCAAAAAGAAAAAAATTAATTCTAAAACACATTAGGCTACACTTTGTGATTTAGCATTAGAAGTCTTTTGAAATAAGTACAGTATTCAGTAGGGGATAATGAAATGCTACTATTTGCCTACTTCACCTCCAAATTATTTCCATATCTAGTGTTACATATTCTGAAAAGATTTTTAGTGCACAGTAAGAACATCAAAACAAAGAAGGTACCAAGGTTATCTACAGCGCAAACATGATCGCTGAGCTGATGCTGCCTGGGTGGTCTTTTCTCCGTCTGTACTTGATGCAGTCATTCCATGTAGATCTACTTCCAGAACCTGTAAAATCCCAGCGCGATTGCTAAGCAAGTGAACACGGAAGCTGTTAAAGAGAAAGGAAATAATTAGCCGAATGCTAAATTGTATCACCTTCTACATGCAGGAAATTAATTGCAAAACAGGTGGAGGAATGACAACTCTAGAGCAGAGCCTCCTAAACTTCCCAAATTGCTACAGGAGTGACAGAATAATTTAGAAGACAACAACTGGTGTAACACCCTGCGTGGCAGCACCGCCCGGGCGCTGAGGTGGAAGGTCAAACTGTGCAGCCTGAGGGGCGGCGCTTCCAGGGACACAGCTGAAGAACCACACTGGGTACCACAGAGCGCAACAGGCTACAGAAACTTGTCACAATTGTCACCCATCTATTGGAAACTGTATTGCAGGAGAGACGGCTGTACTGGCTCTTGCATTAGCCATAATCAAAATGATTTCATGCTGAACAAAATGATAATGAGCTAAAAATACACATATCTGGCACAACACAAGGCAGCACGTCTGAAGCCTGAGTTGCCTTGCAGAGCTGTCTCAATTAGCGTTAGAATTATGTTCCCCTTTGAACTTGTTCTTGCTTCCAAATACAATGCATTACTCTCTTTTTATCCAACTCCAATGCAATTAAAATTTCACTGCTTTTATATATATATAGAGAGAGAGAGAGAGAGGGAGAGACAGAGACCGAGAGAGACAGAGAGAGAGACAGAGAAGAAAATCTCAAATCAGACTGAAATTTATTCTGCCTGGCAGGGGAAGGTACCAGTACTGCTGCCCTGAAACTGTGTCTGCGGAGGGCTGTGTGGGAGGCAGAACTGGTCACTCTCAAGACTACTCCTGAGTATCAGCAGACTTCAGAGTAATTTAAATAAGCCCAGGAAAACTGTTGGAGCAACTCTGCCACATAAACAGCTGCCCTGCAGCAAGCAGAGGTACTGTCAGCCTAGAAAAGGTATTTAGGCTTCTTTCCTACTCTTAAAAAAAAAGTAAAATTAAAAGATCATGCCTGCATGCCTCCCAATCCTAGTTCTAGGCACGATCCTAGTCCAACTGGAGCAGTGTTTGTGTGTTCCCACCTCTTCTGTGTTCTCTCATGTTTCTTTCAATTGAGGACTAACTTTTTGAATTCGCTTTGCATATATTCTTGAATAAAATTTTATACATCCAAAAGAGAATTACTGATACTCACCTCCTTGCCTGTTACATACCTGCTAAATAACGTATTGTATCAAGTTTATTTGATTCCATGAGTGTTTTTAAGGAAGCTATTTCAGTGTCAATTTTATTACTGATTTCTGAGATAACACTGTTGGTACTTGAATCCTGAAAGATTAAAAGACAGTGTTTATTTGGCAGTGATCTCTAGCCCTTTCATTTTTGAAAAGCCAAACAAGAATACCAGCAACAAGAGGAGCAAATTTTCAACCTACGACTCAAGTGAAATACATAACTGGTAAGAGACCTTAGAAGACACAGATAAATACAATCCAGGAAGAATATTAAAGAGCCAAAAAAAGAGAAAACTCAGATCACAGGGTTTTGTCCCTGATATGCCAATCCTTCCTAAAGGAGGCATCCTACAGCACAGACATAGTATCCCTAAAATTTTGCAAAACAAAGGTTTAAGCATTGCCAAGCCATATCCAGAAAATGATACAGGCAATAAGACTCATACAACAGACATGAGTGATATGGCCCAGCCTTGTGCTTTACCATAGTGAAAAAAGAAATCTCCTAACTGAAGTTTGGGGTTTGCGTAACCTGCAACGTGTACCTGCATCCTGCTCAGTATAAAATCAGCTTTGCTCAATACTTACTTTTTTATGAAACTCTGTAGTTGCTTCCATCAGTTTCCTCTCCTGGTCTGTAAACTGCAGATAAAAGATAAACTGGAATTGTAGTAATGGAAAAGACGACACAGAACCGCTAAGGGTATCTTCCCAGGCCTGCTTACCATATCCGTCACTCTGCTCCTTTCCAGGTTTATGTCTAGCTTGCTGTCAGCTCGGATTTTACCGGTTTCATTCTTTAAAGTAAATAAAAATCATGAAAATAACTGTTCTCTCCAGTTGCAGTGCGTAGGTACTTGCTGTTTACTTACCATTAGCTGCTGTTTAACTTGATCTAATTCAATTTTCATTTTCTAAGTGCAGAGGAGACAAAAACCAAAACAATTTTAAAAATTCAGAAAACTGCTGACCAAGTTAATCAGTCGTCCAAGTGTTACCACCCCACACAGGCAATCTTCCATCATTTTTACCCCAAGGGGAAAATGTGTTCTTGATTAAGTATCCTAACCGATGTGTTCAGTACACAATACATACATAATCTGCTGGGAATTTTGCTCAAAATTTTGATTATTTTGCAACAATTTATAACGTTGTTTTCTGAGACTAAAGACAGTGGAAAAATAGTGAAATGCTATCATGCAAATGCAAAACGTGTTTCAATCATCATTTTAAGTAAATTTTTGCAAAGAAATGTCTGACTATTCTCCCAGCACTGTATGATTAATGATGGTAAGACTGTACCAGAATCACCCTTAAATAAAATCACAGATGATTTTAAGATGTGTAGATTTTTTTCTCTTTATAGCAGAACTGATCATGTCTTATCATGTGATATATATATTTTTATGTGATCACAGAAGTTGTGATCTACAAACACTTCAACTCTGATAAAGTCTCCAGAATTATTTTTACACTGATATTTCATTCCACAAAAATTTACAATGGGTATAAATCAACAAATTGTTACAATTTAAATGCTTAATTAAAAATATGCATTAATACCTCATTCTCTGCTCTCAAGTTTGCAAATTCGCTTTTCTCCAGGATGACCATATCTTTTCGAATGGAGTCCAAATGTGCCATGATTTGCTGCAAAGTTATTTCCTTAGAAACAATAAAACACGTACTTAAGTTGCACACTTTCCAGCAAGAAACAGAAAGCAAAGATTTTCAGGCCTGAAATTATGAAAGTAACCACTGCAAAGCACAAAAATGGAGACAGACTCTCCAACGAAAAAGTGGCAAACACAGAATTTTAGAGCTGCAACTTGTCTGAAGGACTCAAGGCTTTATTTTGTGCTTTTCCTGTTGCTTTAATACACTAACTGAATTTAAGCAAAAAATACCCGGAGGTGTTAGTCCAGGTGACTATGAAATGAAATAGATCCAAAAGTACAGGTTAGTCCTTCTTTCTCTTCCATTTTCAATGAACTTTCAGCAGCCTATGAAGCATTGTTGGTTTGAATCCAATTCTTAAGTAAGCATCTCATTTCTTGCCCACGATGTCATCCAAAGCCAAAGAGTTAATGCTACATGTGGTCACACTGTCCTCAGCATGAGAATTCTGAGGGACACGAGTAAAAGACTGCTAAGAAGCACTGGAAAAAGCCTTCCTGGTGTCTGGACTAACAAGTTCAGAATTCAACTGCTATTTTTAAACCACAGAGTAAAAGAGTAAGAAAATAAAAGAAGAAACTGCATATTGTAGCATCTCAAAAGCCATACTCCTTTAGTTAGCAGAAGGAAGTTACCAGAGATGACATATCTGTGTGGGATCCCGCTTCTGAAGCTGAGAGCCGCCAAAATGAAGAGCTCTCGTTCAGACTACAAGCAAACACTCTCAGATCCTACACTGAATTAAATCTGTTAAACTAGGCCCCGAGCCAACTTTGCAGAAGTCTCACAACTTCATTGAACACAACAAAGTTTTTACAATTCCTGGAAGAACTTCCATTGCATAAGCATCAAGGAGCTAATTGGTCTCATCCCATCTTAAAACACTCAGTATCACCACTAACTATGCTGTAAAGCCCAGTGTTTCTGCCTAACACAATTAATGTGATTTATATTTGGGATACCGACTTTCTTTACACGTTGTAAGATTTCCAAAAGGAAAGGTTTCCATTTTGATAAAAAAACAGACCTAAGTTCTTGTCTTCTTCTAAGGTAACTTTTAATAAGAATAAAAGCCAGTAAGATAAAAACCTGTTGGAAGTAAGGCTTAGCAGTTTAAATACAATAGCAACGAATGCTTAATTGTATTAACTCATTTAAGAAGAGCGGCACATAATTTCACCAATTTCACCTTGCACAGCCTTCCCAAGTAATTAGTAAAACCATTACTGTGCATCAGAGCTTTATTATTCTGGCCCAGACGTCTAGCCTGCAATAAAACTGAGGTTCTTATTTTATCAATTTGTTAAAACGAAACTTGTCACCACCTCTGTTACCAGCAGAAGCAGCAGCTACGCAACTTAACTAATTCTCTGCCTCCAGATATGTCCACCAACATGGACCTGAATATGTAAGTGAAGGAGAATCTTGATGCTTTGCTTGAGTGAAGTGCGCAGCTGACCAGCACAAACAGCGACATTTATACCAACAACTCAATCATACAATCAGTATGGTTGGAAAAGACCTTCAAGATCATCACATGCAACCACTATCTGACTCTAAATCTAACAATAATTCAGACCCCACCTGCTGTCCCCAAGGGAACGTGACACACCACCACAGGTTACATCTCTCTCTTCTTCCTAAACCAAGGTGGCTCTGTCCACCTGGCCTGGCAGCAGCAGTTCCTGCCCTTACACTTGCACAGAAATTGTGCCCAAGTCAGGGAGCTGAGAGCTGGCACAGGGCAAAATCAAGCCGAGGCACGACAGAAGCTGTTGGCACCTGGGACAAGCCCACAGTGGTGTCTGTGCCCACGCCCTATCCATGTTTAGTTTTAGAGACTAAAAAGCAGAAGTAAAATAATGAAATAGTTTCAACAGCAGTTTTTAGTTTACGAATAGGAAAACAAGGCAAATACAATGTAACTCAGAACAGAGTTTATACCCTCAGTAAAAATACTTGACAGTTTTCAGTATTTTAAATGGTTTTGTTTTCTCTCTTTGCCCCCAACCGTTGTAAAGCACAGTTAAAAGTCTGGTTTCACCAGAGCTTCTCAGTAGCACATGAAGCAATCACAGAATCGCAGAATCTCTGCTTTACACTTACATATTACGCTCTGCTCACTTGAGACCCCACTCGTAGGACTGCGTTCACCTCTGGGGCCGCCAGCTAAGAAGGATATGGACCTACTGAAGTGAGTCCAGAGGAGGACCATAAAGGCGATCAGGGGTTGAAGGACCTCTCCTGTGAGGACAGGCTAAGAGAG